AGTTCTTCTGGAGCCAGTTAGCTCCTAGCTAAAATCAATTAAAGCTGGTAAAGATACATTCTATGGTCAGGTCCAAATACAGACATCTGTATTTATAGCACAGTGGATGCTGGTAAAATCCCCCAGCACAGATGCAGTTGCACTGGCAGAACTGTTCAGCTCATACAGGGGGCAGTAGGTGGGTTTATTACTCCTGGATAATCCCAGCTGTGTCAGTAGAGTTGCACTCACACGATGCTCTATTTCTGCTCTGTAGCCTCAGTTTTCTAGCCCCAAAGAAGCTAGCACTCTTTTTCCTATGGAGTACAAAGGGCAGGCAGTTTAAGCTTGTTTGTCACCTCCCCACCCTGCTGCTCATTCCCACTTGTGAGGGCTTGCAGGGAACTGGGTCATGGAAATGATCCAGAACAGAAATAATTTTGGGTGAGAATGAGGGAGAATCTGAAAAAACAAAGAAGATGGTGTTCCTTTCAACCAAATCACTTCCTTGCACTACACAATGCAGAGGGCACTTCACAGCGTGAGAATGGTACCCCTGCCAAGGTGGTCCGTGACTTTTACTGGAGTGAAAATTCCTCGTGCTACAAGCACTGCTTGGCTGGGAATGAGGCCAGTGCCCAGGCAGTACACATGCCAGAGCTGGTGCACTGGGACTCAGCCTGCTGAAGATTCCACGAACAAAGAAAATCCTGGAGGCAGTCAGGGAGCTCACAGGCAGTGCTCCCTGTCCCAGAAACTCCAAAACTCTGGCAAGTGCATGCAACCACCCAGCTGCCTTAAGGCAGAAAAGGTGTATGTACACAGCACACAAATGTGACCATGCATGTAAGTTGCGAAGTGCTTTACCAGACAATTCCAGCCATTTCAAATTTGTTTAAGCCAGCTCTGCAGCTTAAAAAACAGAACCAAGAATGCAGCCCTGCTTCCCTCCCACCCTCAGCTCCTCCTTTGGCCTTATTCTGGCACAAATGTCACTTGGCCGTGTGGTGAAGCAGATTGGGAAACTGATCAAGCTGAGAACTAGCCTGAGATTTTGGCACCTCGTGGATGTTGTTATTTGTGAGAAGACCACCCTGCCTATGCAATCAGTGGGCAGCAGAGACCCAGTGCAGCCCAGCAGATGGAAGGCAGGCCAGTTGGGTCTCATTCAGGAACATCCAATTTCTTGCTTTCATCCAAGCTGGTGAGAGACTCAGCTGTGAACAAGGAGCTCTAGTGAGCCCTACAGCACCTCTGAACTCTGAAACAAGTGTGCCTGGAATCCCACAGAGAACAAAATCTGTAAAAGTAACCGATGATGAAGTCTAGTGCAAGAGGTCTTGGAATGAGATATGAGAAATTCTCCAGAAACTTGAAGTCTCCTATCTGTACTTATTGATAGAATCTGCAATTTTTTTCCCAGTACTACAGAAAAAACAGTCTCATAAATCCAGCAGGAAATGGGCAAAGATGAGGAAAGTTGGCTTTATTCACTCTCACAAAAAAAACATCTGGACCACTAAATAAAAGCACAGTAAACATTTGAAGACTGGAAAGACTCAAAGAAGAAATTGCGGTTTGTACTTTAGGACTGACAAATTGGCAAATTCCTCTATTAAAACATAGATGCTCTATGTACTTTAAGATAGTATTTATGAGTAATTGCTGCTGTTGGTTAAATTATTTAAGGCATTAACTTTGCAAAGAAACTAAAAGATGTTATTTGCTCAATGAAATATACTTAATACCTATAACTCATGCAACTATATAATGTATTTTTAAAATATTTTTTCTTTCAGTACTTAATAAAAATCCACACAAAAGATTTCTTGCTACATACTTCAGAACGAGACAGGAGGGCATGTGAAATATGAATGAAAAAGCTTTTAGACCTCTAGAGAAAACATGCACAGCTCAGTGAATGTTAGGGAGAAACAGAATTGAGGAGAAATGATAAAAAGAGAAAAAAAAAAGAGAAATTAGAGAACATTGGGAGGATGACTTCAAGCTAAAGAGATGGCCCCAGAAGAACAGACAGAGGACATACATATGCACTTGTTTTTTTGTTTGCTTTTCCTAATGAGACAAAGAAGGTCTCATTAACTCCTGAGATGAAGAAAATTACCCCAAAGTGGTTGTCAGGCTTCGTACAGGATCGTAAGTGGTGAGGAAGGCTGGGTGCCTCACCCTGCTCACATCACCCAAAGCAGCGAGTGCCACTCGGAGAGGCAGCAACAGCGTGAGGAACTGGGTAGGCTCAGAGCTTCCTGACAATGTGTGGGCAGCCTGGACTGGAAGAGGCTCAGCCCCTGGAGCCCAGTCCAGGCATGGAGAGCTGCAGGCAGGTGATAGAGACTGGCTGTCATGCAGGCAGAAGGCACTGCTGGCAGTGTGCCCTGGTGGCTCGTGGCCAGGCTCCCCCAGCCCTCGTTAGCTGCTCCTGACCTAAACCCTGCACAATGATCCAAGCTTAACCAGCACCAGGGGAAGATCTGATTGTCAGAACAGGCTGGTGACAAGCTGAGAGGTAACAGGGCAGCCTGTTGGCATCAGCTGACCAGTTCCTCTGGTCATGGACCAACCAAGATCCTATGAGGCCAACAGGGAGCAAAAGCCCAATTTGTTCCCATCAGCTTAGGGAGACAAGCCTCGTTTTAGGTGTCTGAATGACTAGACATAGCCTATGTTAACAGTAGCTATTCTCTTACTTTCAGAAAAATCCTATCCCCAAGGAGAAAAGGGTTGAGGTTTGCAACATGTAAGTCACAGTAACCACTTTGGCCAATGTGAGAAATTTTTTTCATGCTCAGATACAAAACAAAATCAAAAAATCAAATTCTTCTAATTATTAAGGAAACAGTAATTTCCTGCAGTCACTCCCTTAATAAATTCTTAGGAAAATCAGTATTCTCCTCATCTATAGCTGGATAATCATCATATGTCAGTTAATATATTTCTGGTTTTCCCTCCTGCATATTTTCTTAGAGAAAATATTATGATCCTTCATATTCTCTCAGTATAAAAACCATTCCTATCACTGGATGAGCTCAAATTGCCACCACTCAGGAAGAAAGGAATGCAAATGAGGAATACCAATTAACCCCTTTACAATTAAAAATATCTCTCTCTATTATATCACCCATTAGTGATACTCTAGTTAATGGTCTGTCGACATTTCCATTAGACCTTTTCCCCCTGCTCCCACACAGAACTAAATCCTGGATAATCACCTTGAATATACCTCTATGGATTTACACAATACATAGACACGGCTCCAATGAGGCAAAATATAGATTTCTCTGTTATCTTGAGCCATTAGATTCTCCGAAGTACCTGTTCTCTAATGTATCATGCTAAATACTCTGTGTTCCAAATACACTGAATAATTTTGCAGGATTTTTTTTTCCAGTGTTACAAATACTTCATGTACAAAAAGCTCAAAGTAATTGCACAGACCTGTCCTAAAGATACACCATGAAAATTGTGGACTGAAGCTCAGTTCACAGCAGACTACTTTTGCCCAATATACTTCACATTATATCATGGTTTTTTTTTTACACTAGATGTGAGACAGTGTGTTACATTTGGTGCCACACACTGTAATACCTAGAAATGACAGGGTGAATTAAGGACAAAGCTCCAGCCTTAATAGCTTAAGATCCCCTGGCATCCTTATGGTCAAACCACATTCTCCACACTTCTGTAATGTATTTTTGTGTGTGTGTGTGTCAAATTAATTACAAACGTATCACATTCGTATATATTGCATGTGTTAGTCCTTTCAACACTCAAAATACACTGAAGCGTTTTATAGTGTGCTCATCATCAACCATATTCAGTTCAAGAGCTGGCATACTGGAGAGAATAAGAACTCTGTGCCTGATAGGCAGATGGAAGAAGGGAGAGGTATACGGCGTGAATCCAAAGCTAGAGTTTAACCCTTGTTTTCACATGAGATTTCTCAATAAATTTATGATGGTATTGTTTGGTGTCTATATGCATCTTGGCACTATTTTTAGTCATGAGCTTGCACACAGCAATTCAGCTCTGCCAGATTTTCCTGGCTTGTTTTTAATCCCCAAATACAGGATCCATAGCTCTGATGAAAACTAATTAAATACCTCTTGTACACAGACTACCCTTCAGAAACAAAACCTGCACTCTTGCTCACCACACTTAAGTGTTTAATACAGTGTGACTGGTTTTGTCTGGAATTACTGTTTGCAAACTCTAATTAGACTAAATGAAAATGACTCATATTTTATATATTACAGCTGATAAAATACTGGTTGGAAAAACTGTGTGTATAAGCATGCAAACCAATGCCACCACACACAAGTGCCAGAAATACTACTCCCTGGCAGCCAGGGAAAGATGTCCTTCATTTTAGAGACTATTTCAATTTACAATACCTTGGATTCATGAGGCTACTTAAGATCAGACCATATGTAATAGCAATTTTGTTCAATCTATATTTTAAAAATCCATTACTTGCAAATATACAGACCTATATTGAACATTAAATTGTTTATCATCTAAACTGGACCAAGTATTTGCTAAACTAATCTCATCCAGAGAACAATATGGAAATGTGCAGTGAAAGTTGCAGTTCACATTTTCCATTGTAAAACAATGCTCTCAGATTCCTGGAAAATGGGCTTGGCACTGCTAAAGGCCAAGCACAGAATTACATCTTTCTGTGAAAAAATTACCTATCTGTACAGCAGCCCCAAAACCAACTTTTTTGCCTGGTCATATAGATAAGAAAAATAAATACTTTCTTTTCATAAATACTCAGCATTACACATAACATCAAAAATGGTGTGTTCCACACTGGTGTAGGGTAAATGAAAGAAATAAACTGAAATAACTTTGACTGCCTTAAGTTTATATGTTTAAAGGCCAGTTGCTCTGTCATTTCTATAAATATTTAGAAGCAAAAACCAAACAGCTAAAACATGGGCTAGGGAAGATGGAGGGATGGGCAGAAAAAATAAAAAAGAAATATATTTATCTTGGTGCCATCATACATGGAGCCAGCAATAAACTCTGAAAATGACTGAGACTTTTTCCCCTGCTATCAGTGCCATTTTACTTTCCATGAGAGTGGTTGAATAAACCACAGGTGGTATTAGGAATAAAAGTTTGATGCAAGTGCTGTTACCTACCCTGGTATGAAGAAATTACCACTCCACCTTACTGGTGAGAACAAGCCCGAGGGTAAGTTAATGTTTAGGGGCACCAACCAGAGCCAATGAGAAATTCCATGTGAGAAAATTCTTCACTGGGAAATGGCCTCACTATTTCTTTTTTAACTAAAAAAAAAAAAGAAAAGACATCAACATTTCCAGAAAGAGTGCGATAGCAGGCATAAAATGAAATTCAAGCTTGACTTTGTTTCCCCACCTTTCTTGATATTAAACTTATAAAAGGAAAGAGGAAATGAAGCTTCTGCCCTGTAGGGGAAAGGAGAGGGCTGAGAAAGCACAATTAGGAGCATTTGTTGACTTGAGAAAGAACAGACCCCATAGCAAGGGATCTTGTCACCTAAAGACAGTAATGAGACATTTTAAAGAATACATATTAACTTTAAATAATTAATCCTTTCTGAATTAATCCCTGGGAAAGAGGATCAAAAGGAAACATTTGGAGTAAACTTGTGGCTTGCCTGAACTCATTTCAGGTTTCTAAGTTCTAAAATAGAATCTTTTTTGAAAGCCAGACAGTCACCACAATGAAAGAAATTACAAATCAGCTCATTTCTCCAAAATGTTTTGGCTTTCATGAATCAACATTTTCTGATTGAAAAAGCATTTAATTAAAATCACAACCAGATCCAACTTAAATGAGGCAGAGGAAGTCCAGAATATCTCTAGAGCATAAGATGTCTTGGTCTTGTCCAAGGGACATGTTTCACTATCAATAAAGCAAATTACTGTGGAGCAGTGGGCAGAAATTAAAGGCATTTTTGAGCTTTTTATTCACAGGTGCCATTAACCATCACAGTTCAAAAATTAGACAGTGATATTTAGCATTCAAAAATTAAATTATACATTAAAAATACCCTCAAATCAGATGACATTGCATGCCTCTACCTACAGATCAATTCTGATTCAACCGTCAGACAACTCTTTTCTGAAAGGAAATTTCCTCCTAATTTTCACATTTTGTGGGAATGCAATGATAATGCTTTTTCCTTCATTATCAGAATTCCACATTACTACTATTTCAAGGCTTTCTAGTGGCAAAAGCTTAAACAAAAGCTTTTTCTGCCAGAAACAAAATAAAAAAGGGGGAAGAGGGGAAAGAAGAAAATTTGTTTCTACTCTAACCCAAGAAAAATGACAATGGCATATCTCCTGATAACATTCTATTACATAGGTGTCCTATGTTCCAGTTACTCAAAATGTAACATGCAGTCACAATCAGCTATGCAAATAAAGTGGCAGAAGGCACTAAATTTGCCTTTGTCTGAGTATTTTTGCCCTACCCAAGCTGACCTTTGTGCTGAGTAAACCTAATGCCTCTGTATTTCTCTCATTACATCCCTGACCACTGTCTTACACAAACTTGCTCCCTTCAGCACACCACACAGAAATATTCAATAGAATTTTTATTTCTGCTCTCCAGATTATTAGAAGCAACTCAAAGTAAATAGCAGAAAATTAACCGTGTTTCATATTCACAGTATTGGCAATTTTCATCAAACTTCAGCAACAAAAAGGAGAGAGGTCCATATAACAGAAAAGAAACAGGTCCACTGAGTTCCATAGCTCCAACTTGTTTTTTGCATGTGGAAAAATACACAAGCTAAGAAAACTTCAAGGAAAGTTTTGACATCTCTACGATCTCGTGTTCAATGTTTGCTGAGCTTTGCTTTTTATATTTGTCACAAATGTGCGTTATCCATGAACAGAGAATTGTCCCAGGCTAAGATCTGGGAAGAAATAAAAAGAAGGCAGCTTGTGATGTTGTGTCAGCTCTACTCACACACTGATCAAAATGGACACATCCAAGAAAAAAAGCACAAGCATGAGTCCTCTTTTTCCCTTATGCACACACTTCTCTAAGCTGAAGTGCATTAGCAATCTCAGATAGCTAATTCTTAATCTTTAGCAAAAAAGGCCTTGAAGTTTTTCATTTCCATAATTTAAACAAATCTGAGGACTCTTCTCTGGTAAGATTTTTTTTCCTCTTAATCATTCCTATGACTCATAAATAGGATACAAAACTGTAAAAGGTGATGTGAACTCTTTGCCAGAATAGGCACTCCAGAATGAAGTGGCATTACTGCTTCTTATCTTGTGCTTCTCATTATTCATCTGTTTCATGCCTCTTCATTGCCAAGATAGTCTAACGTTTCTGGTGCTTCATATTCCACTGTAGTTTAATTGCAAATAGCTTCAAGGAAGAAGAAAGGCAATAAAGACAGACATGGGCTAAGGGATTTTGGCTTAAACAGTAAATGTTGTCACATACAATATAAGACAAATTAACTGGGAGGGTGACACAAAGGATTGAAAACAGACTTGACTGTAGGGGTACATGGAACAGAGAGACTGACTTTCACATTAAATAAGATAGAGTCACTGCATAAATTTCCATCTGCTAAAGTGGAAGGGTTTTACAAATATAAATGAGAATGTAAGAGGGTTCCTCAACAACAGTCCCCTCAACTGAAGGAAGGAACACAGTAAAAAACTCTGCATCTAGATTAAACTTGAGCAGTGGGAATTATCTGAAAGTTCTGTTATGGATTCATACAGAAATTCTAGCAGCCAACTCAAGAAAGTCCCTTCTTTTCTACCACTGGTCAGTATGATGTACTCAAATACTACACTTGGGCTCTTAAAAAGAGGTGCATGGGATGAATTACAGACAGTGGTGTTTGAGAAGAAGTCACTGCCATACTCTGCCCCATTAGCACAGGAAGCAGTCTGCAGTCTGACAGGGCTGGCCCAAATCAGCTTGTATGGATCATGACAGCACTGGCTCACTGAAGAGCACAACAATTCTTTCCCTGATATGGATTTTCCACTAAGCTTTCATCTCTCTGAACAATAATGTATAATATAACACTGTAACCTATTAAACTCCCTTATAGGCATGCAGACTTATGAAAATCATCCTGCAACCATCCTGATGGGGATGTGACATGTCACTTTGCACTCTAGTACAAAGCAAAAAGTTTTCGATGATGTGCAAAATCCTGGGAGCCATATCTCAAGAGATTTTTGTTTCTGATCACTTTTCCCAGCTCTCAGAAAGACACAATCACTGCCTTAAATGCATATTCCATAAGGAGCAGCACTGTGTATAGTGGAATATAAGTGTATATGACCACCTATTCCTGATCCTCCAGGAAACCTCTTGAGTTTCTCCTTCATATACACAATAACCCAAAAACTCAGGAACAGTGGGACATTCCTAGCAATGACCAATTTCCTGGAGATTTCTCGTCCTTGCTGTGGAACAAATTACAGTCTTAGAAGAAAAGGAATGTGAGGAGTGTGTCTGCTGGAGCCAGCTTTGGTCAGGTTTCTTGTGAAAGGCTGTGTAAGAACACAATCAAGGTAACTGCCATTAAAAAAGATGAGGCTGCTGAACACGGTGCTAAACCTTGTGCATAGTACAAACATTCACTGTGAAGGGTAGAATGTTCACTGCTAACAGTAGGACTACAACAATTCCTATGGGAGTTGATCTAGTCTGAGTTTGTCTCACCAGACAGCTGCTTTTAGTGGGTTCAGAAAAAGCCCTTCAGAACTGTAACTTGCCACTGCAGAAACAAGAACTTAGCCGTGGGAAAAATAGCCCCAAATCACTGTTTTCACCCAAAAGGTTTTAGATTCCTTGGACAAACGTGATTTTATTATTTGAAGTAGATTTGCTCAGAGGCACCTATTCTAGTTATCTGTGGAATTTCAAGTATATGCAGCACAGTTTCCCTGACCTGACATCTGCAATGACAGCTTTTGTTTAAGTCATTTTCTGTTGTCTCAGCAGCAGAACCCAGTATTTTCCATTTAATTTTTATGTATTCAGGAATTGTACATGGCTTCTGCAGCTGCACTTTTTGAGTAACCAGAATAGATCAAAATGTTTGGTGGCTGAATTAATTTACAAATATTAAACATTACCAATATTTGAACAGTCAAAATATTTTGTGTCTATTCATTTATAATTCTGCTATTCATTAATATTTCAAACATTACTTAGGTTTTCTGTAGGTCAGATATCTGACTTTGTACTAAGTGTTTCTGTCAGGTGCTAGATACAAACTTAGACTGAACTTTTCATTGATTTATTGGGGAAGTAGCATCTGTGACTACAGAAGAGTGCTGGAAATCTCTGCTGGCTATTGCTGCTGTGTGAGACAACTGGCATAAGAACTAAGAGCAAGTGAAAACTCTGTGCTTATTTAAAAGTTATTTCAAAATTGAACTATTTTAAATAACTCTCTATCTACTTGAAGAATTAATCTAAAGCTGTTAGATGGGCCTATTTCTTTTCTAGTATTTTCTCAGAGTGGTGAATCATCCCTGTACTGAAGAACAGGAATCAGATCTTGCATGTCTTCACACAGATTTAGAAATTTTACAATAAACCTTAATCCATTTTTCACTCTCCAAATCTTCCTTCAGAGCATCTGGCATTACTGTAATATATAACTGCTCTAAAAATATAGTGCTGTAGGCAGCAACTTTGACAGTGAAGACCTGATGGAACGCCACCAGTCCAGCCCCCACCACGTCTCATTTCTGCTCATGCCTTCTTTGCTCCCTACAGCAAAGAGAGTAAGGTAGATAGAGCTGCACCCACACACAGCCTTCCCTAGATACACAGGGACTTGCCAAAATGGTATTTACCGTCTCACGTGCCACAAAAGTTCATAGCACTCCTGGGCAAGTGGGCCAAAAGATGAAGGTTGTAAAAAGCCTGAAAGAGACTTTACAGGGAGACACACAACAGTAATCCACAGCAATTTTAATTTAGACCATGGTGTTTTCCTACCACATTTTGAATCTCAAATGCCAGCAGTTTGGTTCTCCAAATTTAATTATTAATCTCAAGACAGGAAGGAGTGACAAGTTTCTGATGGTAGCAAAGTAACCCTGAAAGCAAGTCCAGGCTAGGAACACACAAAAAAACAACTCAACTTCATCTCCAAACTGAGACAGAGATAGGAAAAAAACGAAACAGACCTGACTGGAGTGAGCTGTAACCTCTTCAGTTTTCTCACATAACTGAGAGAAACCCAAACATGCCCATTTCCATCAAGGGTCTTTTGAAACAAGATGGTAGAAAGAAAACAGTAGGTTCCATTTAGGCACTATCCACATCACTTGGTACCTGATGGACACATTTTCCAAAGTTGCATTATCAGTGGCACTAATTGATGCTACCCTAGTCTTCAGTGACTGTCTTCAAATATGTGTCCTGATTATTAAAACTAGAAAGTACAGGAAATATAAAAAGGAATTTTTTCCACCAGAGCAGGAGGGTGTCAATGCAGTAATGATACAATGGTTGCTCTTTTATGTATCAGATGAAAAATGCTGAATACCTGCAGGGAATTTCTTCGATTGCTCCTGGAGTTGGCTGGGCTTCTGTAGAAGAACTGGGCTTTCATATGTCTCCACCATACTTTTCAGTTGTTGGTGGTGTCTGCTTATCTACACACGAGATTTCCTGAACTCTTGCTCATTTTTCCCAAGAGGGTTCCAGGCAACGAGGACACGATCACTACAGACAAAGTTTAAAGATTTTCAGTATCAGCAAAATTTCATACAATAGCAGTGTTATTAGGAAAAGCTGAGACATCTTCAAAAGGTTGCTAATAATATCCCTGTCCATGGGCAGAGCTTCAAAAAAACCAAACAAACCTGCCAGACTTCAGGTTAAGACATCTGGCAAAAAACCTGACCTTTTGTCTTTGATTTGGGGCTAGAACCAATAAGCACTAAAACTTCCTTAGCCATACTTTTGCTCAACTTTAATCTGCTGAAAAATATGCAAAGCAAGTTCAAATTTACCAGTGCAAAAGCAATAGAGAAGAGAGTCTGGCTAACAAAGGACTACAGCTAAGTGTATTTAAGACACATATGTATAGCTGAATATTTAATTTTTATTTCAAATGCCAGTATTCAGCCATCTGGCTTTCCTTGAGGCTTTTCATTTGTGGTTTTGTTGGTTTTTTTTAATAGCCAATTTTCAATAGTGAAGCATTAAAAATACAAAAGAAAAGAAAAACAAGTTCTTTAGTGTGAACCACTGCGGGCTACCAATCACCACTCCATTGTTAAACCTACATGAAACATAATATCAAGAAAGTGTCTATTTTCTAAAACAGTCCTTTATTATCTAAAATATTCATTCCCTCTATATCCTACTATGTGTTAGTCTTAATGGCCATATGGCTGGTCATTTATAATTAACAGCTTTTATCTAAATAAATACAGTGCTTTGAATATTTAAAAGATTTTTTCATTAAGAACCCTCAACAAAAGGTGAAAAAGGCTCTTTCCACAAAGAGTAGAAGGATATGAACTCCATGAGGTGCCTGCAGGCAGGAAGCAGCACATCAAGGATGGTATTAACCATTTCTACTGAGAAAACAACACTTGCCTGCACAGAAATTTCAGTGTAAAGCAGATAAAACATCAAATGAATTAAAAGGAGTTCTGGGGGACAAAACCCCCACATATACACAGCTTGTATAGCGCAGAGGGTCTTGAATTAGCCTTGGAGACACCTGCACCAGAGCCTTCCTCTACAACACAGCACTGGGAGACCTCTGTTTTTACCTTTTTACAATCTAAGCATGTGCTTTCTGGTTTTGCTATACAAAGTGTGAAAGGCAAAGAATTATATTAATTCCTCCAATCTTTTCATCCTTGGCACAGCATTGTGGCTGTTTCCAGTGGGACAGTGCATGTTAGCACTGCCTCATCATGGCAGGGCTCTCAGATTATTCTATCCATACTGCCACAATGTTTTGTGCTGTACTAACAACCAAATTCTTGTTAGACTTCCACATCCACTCATTATTGCCTTTCCTTGTTTATATAAATTACCATGGCTTGTTATTTGTCAGGATTCATATCTGTGAATTTAATGGAACTGCATTTCTCAAAATCACCCACACTGTCAACAGCTCTAATTTGTTTATGTCAAATCAGTTCCCCCCCATCCCCCCCATTTACCCTTCTGTTTCATACCATTTGTATTAGCTTGTCAGCTGGGATTTTATTTATTTATTTGCTTTGGAAGGTTTGCTTCTGTGAAACCCTGACGGCAGAAGAACCACAAAACTCAAGGGACAAGAAATAAGATATAAATGCTTTCAAAACCAAGCTGTTACTTCCAATTCAGTTCTGGTCAGGTGTAAAAGTTCTGGACAGTTTTTTGCATTTTCTTAGCTCTGCAGATTGCCCTTTCTGACTATTTTACTGGCCAACACCTTAGAAAATGACTAAGAAATATTAATTGAAAATGTAGACACTTAAAGATGCAATTAACTTTTTCAAACACCAGCATTGTAATAACAGAGAAGTATTACGAGGCACCTGATCTCACACAGCAATTTAAGCACTAGGACTGCACCTTTTCTCTCAAAAAGGTACCATGTGGGAGGACAAAGAATATAGAAATATTCTTTCAGTAGATATTTCTATGTAGAAATTTGCAATGAGGTTACCACCAAGATATTAAAGCATATATAAATTTTAATATATACTGAGAAGAAATTAAAAACAGTGGTGTGGTATTATATACAGTGTCTGCATGGTGCTTGGAGCTGCAGAAACCCAAAGTCCTTGCTTGTTTAGAAAGGACTAAAGTAATATGCAACATTGCAAGATGAAACTCACTGCATGAAAAACTAGATGAATACTCAAAAAGGACTTAATTTTGTTCAGATTTAACATGAGTTTCTGTAAATATCTAAGGCTTTGATGTTTTAGAAGAGATTTGGATGCAAGGGAAGAGCTCCAGTATTTCGCTCAGCCAGATCCTTGATCCTTAAAAATCAAGTCATTGACCCAGAAGGTGATCTGGTGCTTGTGCAGTGTTTAGTATTTCCAAGGGGAAAATCCATCCAAGTCAAGCCATGCTTTTGAAGGGGCTCAGTTCATCACACCTCCTCTTACTCCACGGAGCAGCAGAAGCTGCAGCACTCCTGTGCTGTGGCCTTGCCCCATCTCCAGCCTGTACAAAAATGTGCTGGCAGCACTCTGCGACAAAGGCAAGGAGCATCTGGGCTCTGCAGGCAGCCACAAAACCCTGCTCTCTCCTCTCCACCCATTTTTGTGCTGTACCAGTTTAATCAAGCAGTAAGCTACTTCTGTCAGGGCTCTTAGCAGCAGCCTGGCACACCACCTCATTTGCTGGCCAATCTGCTTTTTAGACCTTTAACAATAGCTCGGCATTGTAAATGCTCAACACATCATATGTAGCTATTGTGGTGTTTCTGATTTCCATTTTATTTTGGGTACTAACTTTTTCCAGTTGTGGCATGATTGACATCCTGGCAAAGCCTGAAAAAAATTATTAATAGGAAGTATTTCTGGATGTTATGGCAGAGTTGTGTTTAAAAAGGGAACAGAAGTTCTATATTTCAGTTATTGTGCTGAAAACAACAAAGTCCCTTTGTTTAAACATTTACTTGAATTTGTGTATTTTTACTGTCTGTAAATTTTATCCTAAAAAAACCCCTTAGACTTCATGTCAACAGTATTAGTGTAACTACTGTGTCATCAATACCAAAATAAGTTGCTATTTTAGAAGTTCATAGATGTCTTTTCAGCTTGAAAAAAAAATGCCTTGGGCTAAATTTAGCTCTCAGGATTTCAGCATTTATATAGGGGAAGGGACTTTGAAATTCTGGAACATCCAAAGTCGGTGTCCTTACTTTCCAGATTACAGCAGGCTAGGGTTTATGCTCATATTTGCTAAGCTGAAAGAAAGCTTCCATAATGATAACAACAACTATGTAGGATCAACATGCCTTCAGTTGCACATAAGGACAACATGCACTAATTTTACAAAAAATTTGAAACTAATTTAAACTCTGCATTAGAAATATTCGGAGTACCTCTACAAGAGTTACAATCATCATTACTCTCCTTGCAGCACACTGAGATGGGACTGATCCCATCTGCTCAGTCAATGAAGCCAGGAATCAAAGTTGCAATAGTGCAAAATCTGAACTGGTTTTTTTTCTGCTTGTGTCAAAGATCCAAACTTTGGAACAAAACCCTGAGTGGTTCTTGATGTTAAAGTCTCCTTTAATAAAGTTATAGCTAAGATTTGAAAACCTTCATGAACAATTCAGCTAGACATTGATACCATCACTTTAAAATATTCCATTTGCTACACGATTCACTGAAAATAAAACCTAGAAAAGCTGTGTCATCCACTGTCCTGCTCCAAGTCAAGAGAGAGATACATAATCCAACCCACACAGGTGCTATTAACCTATCAATAAAGGCTTCCAGTGATGGAAAACAGACCATCTTCTTGTGAAACCTTTTCCAGCCTGAAAATGCAGCTAAAAACCCCTTACTCTACTCTCAGTGGGAGACAGAGAGTACCAGTTCACCTTTCTGTTCACAACTTTCACACTCTAAACTAACCATCTCAAATTCTCCTCATAGTTTTTGTTATCTAAGAGAACAAGGATAAAGCAGAAACAGACAGGTTTTGTCTATATCTTTCGCAAAACATAGCTCCTAAAAGAGACCCTCCAGGACTGTAATAATGTCTTACATAGGATGAGTCTATTCATTCACCCAAGAGCAATTTTGTTGCTTTTTTCAAGCAGCAGCATGGTACTGAAGCTTTATGTTCAGTCTGTGGTCTTCTAGCAAGTATTTTCAGCAGTACTGCTGCCTACCCACTTTTCCCTTGTTTTATATTTGATGATTAATCTGCCTTTTCCTTCTTACACACAGCATCACCTGGGTGAACTTGGGTGAATCTGGAGGATGTGTCATCATTACTCACTAGTTCCCTTTAAGTGTTGTGTGGGAAATTGCCATTCTTGTAAATAGGTCTTTTATACAAATAGCCTACCTTCTGTCAGAAGCCAGTGCTCCAGACAACAAGCAAACAGCAATAGCTGTTGCCACAGTATCTTTACTACTAATTCACTTTAGCCTTAGTAATGACTTTTCCTTTGTTATCACTGTTCGGTTAATATTAAGCATCAGTTAAGCCTCAGTTCTTCACCAGCAGAACCCTGAGGATGCATTACAGTGATAAGGTCAGAGCTGGCAGTTCTAAGACTACAGACCATATCCTGGGATAATCACTAGAAAGGAAATACTGCATTCATTTTCTATCACTTCTGCTCATCAGTGGGAAGTAACCCTGCGTATGCACTGCTCAAATTGAGACAAAAGCCCTTTGGAGTCAATAAATTATATTTGTGTATATAACAAGACTATTCAAGTCAACAAACTGGCATCCATGCAGAAGCCTCAAACATAAAAAGGATTTTTTTTTCCCCACTGGGCAAGACCCAAAAGCATTATACAAGATTTACAAGAGAAAAAAATTGCCTCATTCACACTACCTTGATACTGCTGCAGTGGAGTCCCGAGGACCATGAACTGCAAGGCAGTGAAAGTAACAGCCCAGAGATGAGAGCTCAAACTTTTCACTGAATATATTCCCCTTTCAGCCCATGAAAGGTCTTTTAAGACAGAAAATCTAAAGTGGCTGGAAATGATGCTTCACTCACTTCTGCCAGTTACAGACCTCGGCTGACTAACCAAGAAAAGACATGGGCACAGCCACTTTTGGCCAAAATCCTAAAGCAGTGTAGCTTCTTCCTCTTCCCCTCCCTCACCAAATACAGAAGAATAAATCACTGCTCTGAAGTTGGATTTTGATCTCAAGAAAATTGATGGTGACACAGGTTTTGAAATGTGGCAGCTTCATAGTGCCTTTTAAAAAAGAAGACATCAGGAGGTATCTCCAGCATATTCAAATCAGGGAATAAGATTTAGAGCTCTCTGAACAGAATAGACAAGAATGCCGTTCACACTTGACTGTAGTTACTGAGTTTTACACCCTTGCAGCATCCTTACAGATTGGCAAAGACCCAGTAAATTACATTTCCTATGATGTTGTTGGCTTACATGGAGTCAAAACAGGACCATAAACCAGAATGATCTGGCTCCTCATAGCAAAGACTGAACTGAAGGTATGTAGTACAGCTGGCAGACAACACTTCTGTCCAACAGCCCACTCCGGTTACGTATCCCTGTACCTGCAGTTAAGTCTGCTTCTTAATTGTGTGTGTAAAAAATATGTTTGTTTTACAACACTTTCACCCAAAATACCAAAATACCCAAGTTCATTTCTATTCTCACACACCACCAGAGCAGCAGTCTGGTTTTTGGTTATCTTACTGCTCTGTGAACTTTTATAACTAGATTTACAATCATGGTTTAGATTCAAACACCCTCCACAGTTATCCCAGGAACTTTACTGGTTTGTGGTGTAGGATCATTGAGAAGGGGGGATTTTCAAATACTCTAAGAAATCAGGGCAGAACAGTACTTTTGAGTATTTATCTTTTCAAGTAAAAAGAATTTGTAAATAGTAACAAGCTGTATAATATGAAATACTATTTCTTCTTCATTTAGCAGACAAAGCACTTGCCTGAAACATCTAAGAATTGTTGGTTCCAGCCAAGATCATTGCTTTCACTCACTAAAAGCATGCAGTGTACTCCATTAGGCAATTGCTTGCCCATCAGTGTACAATCTAACACAGGGCCCCCTGAAAACCTTATATTTGATAACTATCATAAGAATTGATTAAACTCCTTCAGATAAGAGTATCTGTTTCCATCAGGTTAGTTAGTTATGCTAACACCATGTGGCAGTACTTACTAAGCAGATGAATTTGTGAAAAGTTCTACAGCTATTTTGAGGATATAATAGATATTTCATTTTGACTTGAGCTTAGCACACTTCTCCCCCAACTGCTCAGCATAGATGTATAAATACATTAAAGCAAACAATTTCTAGCTCCCCTTTCTATTTAAAACTTGCTTAATTAAGGCATTTATATTTCCACAAATTACTGCAAAGTGATTGACCTAGGGGTTGCTCTGAACCTCACAGATGAAAGTCTTGACTGGAAATTCTTCTCAGCAGCTGTTTTCCAAGTTCATTTCATTTGAAAATCTTTACTTCTTTTTTTTTTTTTTTGTTATCATTATTGCTAAGTGAAACTTCCTTAGTTGGCCAGAATGGGAAAACATTTTACTGTCTCACAATGAGTCAGTTCCTGAAAGCTGATTAGCTTCTACTTCATAATGGCTCTAAGGATTCGGTTATCAGCAGTGACTCCCAAATAATCATGCTGGACACTTACAATGAAGCAAAATTTACTTTAAAGCAAACAATTGCAAATCCAGCATGCTTTGGATCTCCTAATGTCAGTTTAAGTATTATTGCCTATTAGGAACAACAACAGCACAGCTGAAGCGGTTAATAGAAATGAGCACAAGTCACAGTTTTAATTGCAGCCTTAGAGCCATATTCATTAGAGATGAACACATTCCCTCCACGTTGCTAGCAGAATGCCTGCATACATGATTTCAAAAGCACTGCACATCTGCTCAGAATATGACTTCTGTCTCCTCACACTTACCTGATGTCTCTGATGAGGACAAGAATGCTTCTCTCCTAAACATGCCAGCTGAAAATATAGAGCAGTGAACACATTAAAAATATTACACTTTGAAACGTCCTTAAATAAGGTTTTAGAACAAAATGTAATTTTAAGTAATGTACACAGATACATGGAAATGTACTGACTTGATATTCTTGCTATATCTCTCCCATTGTAAGAATTGTATTTCCAGTGCCAGATTTGAGAAAATTACACCTGTCAAGCAAAAACTGTCTCAAACACTTAAAACTATCCCTTGGAAATATAAGAAGACACTACATGATGTTATTTTCTGCACTGGTAGAGGTCAGCTATTGCACAGGAGTCATTTACATGTCTGGAGGGAAAACAGTGCTTGGAGAGCTCCTAACACCACCCTGTTCACACAGCTTTCAAGGATACATCTTGTATTTTTCCTTAGAAGTCCCAAAGTAGAGTACAGAAACTGCAGAACAGAGAACAGAGAGGTTAACTGGGCAGCAAAACCCCAGGGAAGGCTGCATAAGCTTGAAAAGGATCCAGTGAAGGATCAGAGTGAATGAAGTGGGAAATGAGGATTTGGCTGTTTTGAAACTAAATATATTAGTCCATGGCATCTGTCTAACGAGGAAAAGGTTAAAAATGCAGATCTGGAAAGCTACACTTCTTACTGTGAGCTGCTAAGTGTTCACAAACAAATTCCAACCTTCTTGTCACTAAAATTTAGGGAGGATCACTCACAATAGATGCATGGAAAATAACATCCTCTTCAAGTGACAAGAGGATGCCAACTCACAGACAGAGAAAAGGGTTGAAAGCAGCACAGGGCAGAGAGATTCATTCCAACCCTCCGGATTTTAAAAATCCAGGATGAAACTCCAGTGACCAAGAGATTCTTGAGTTTCATTTCACCATTTACCACCACTTGACAGGAATTAAGTGTTTCAAACAATCAGGGAGCTACAAGAGAGTCCAGCATAAAACAGGTACATTGTTTGAGAGGAAGTATTATACAAAACAAACAAAAAAAAATCAATTAAGCATTGCAAGGCCTTTTTAATAAATATACATCATTATAGACTCATTCAAGTCGGGAAAGACTCATAAGATCATCGTATACAGCCCTATACGTGGGCACTGCCAAGCCCACAACTAAACCATGTCCCCAAGTGCCACATCTACATGTGTTTTAAACACTTCCAGGATAGTGTTTCCAATACTTGACAGCCCTTTCCATGAAAAGCTTTCCTAGTATCAAACCTAAACCATCCCTGGTGCAACTATATAATTCTACAGTATGTTCTACACTTGAACTCTGAAAAAGAGTTCCTCTTGATGATTTATTTTTAATTTTCTACTGAAAGAAATGGGTAGATGTTATGGTCAGTACAGTCTGATGAATCCATGTATTAACAATTAAAGTACATTGCATTAGCATGTCAACCACATAAAGTATACTTTAAGGTTAATAGAGTGTGGTTTGTCATTTATTAATTAGATGACATGTTGAATATTTTCATTCCTTCAGAATGAACTCTATTTTTCTCATTTGAAACTCAATACAAACATGAAAGGAAAATAAAAACTGCAGAAGAAATATGCAACATATGCTGAAATTAAATTTGGCTGCACTACCGAAACATTTCAGTGACATGCAATTTACTGGAGACAACAACTGCCAATTTCACCTTGTGAAAATAATTCTCTTCCTGTTCCTGCATCAGCTGACAGCTGTATTGGCTTCTCAGCTCCTGCCTGTGTCTTGCCTTTGGCTCCAACCTCATCAGCCTTTAAATGGTGGTCTCTGAGGAAACAGAGATGTTTTCAATTCTGAGCTCCAGCTCCTCATCTACATTTATCCATAATGCATCTCATCCTAAACTGATAAGCAAGGGAATTATTCCAACAGTAATGTCACCATGCACAAAATGGCAGAAATAGCCTTCAGCCCAACAGCCTTACCTTGCTGCCTTTGCCTGTCTGGGTTCTGACAGCACACACACAGAAATAAAACAAAGAGGAGAAGAAAACTGAATTCTGGCTATCAAGACCCTACTTGAAGCTTGAAATTTTAGGCTCGTTCTTTCTGAGCTGGGAAAAGAAAAAAAAAAAAAAGACAAAAAAAAAGAAGAAGAAAATAAAAAGATTTTAAAAACCCATCTTAAACTAGTTTTTCTTTCTATGTCATAGGCCGTACTTTGAGAGCACTAATCTATAAATCCTCTGTAATTACATGTAATATTCTGGAAAGCCATGGAACAATCCTACTTTATGTTTTTGGAGTTTTTAAGGCATAATTAGAATTGATTCAAGAGCAACAAGAATTGAGAAGGTTCCTGGTGCTCAGCTCCAGAAAGTACATCACAGACATCAAGCTTACACAGCCACTGCTTGGAAACAGCCTCCTCTGGGAAGTCAGGCTTCCTTTTTTTTCACTGCAAAACTTCAGTCTCACTCCCACACAAAGCCTGCCCACCTCCTGCTAAGATATAAAGAAACCTAAGGATGTGGTCATAATTACAAAGCTGACACAACTGAACCAACCACAGAAGAAACCTCTCATGTTCTCACCCACTGCAGCTTTTCACCTTCTCTTCACACTCATTTTTGATGTAGCCTCCCAACCCTGAGACTTTGTCCTCAACGTGAAGCATCAGACATTAAGTCTCTGACACAGCATGAAAAGTAGCAACAGAAACTTCCAGCTAGTGAAGTCAGAGAAAAGGCAAAAAAAAAAAAAAAGGAATTGACACAGTTAGAATCTGTTCTCCAAGATGCTCCTGCGTCAGCTTCCAGAGGGAGCTCTGTGTCTAGAGAGATGGGGTGGCTGGGCCCCTGCTGCTCCCCAAATAGCTCATTTAGGCATTTCCCTCCTGCTCCCACTGAAATGTAATGCACAAATGCATGCTCACCAGCATGGCACTCTCCAGATGGTACATGTCTGCTCTAACTTTTTGTATTGGAAGGACAATTTCCTCAGTAAACCTTCATGACTTAAAGCATGGTGTCTTACTGTAGTCTGGATTTCTACTCACTTTCCATTAAGGTTTACCTGGCATTTCATCCAGCAACCTCTACTGTGCAGGGTTTTTTTTTAAATAAAAGGTAGTAACACATAGCACAGTCTTTGAAAAATACTGGAAAGAAGGGTAGGGCATTGGAAGGAGAAAAAACAGACAGTAAAAATGGTGTTTACAATGGGTAGTTCACAGACCTGAGGCAAGGGACACACAGCATGATGTTCACAACTAGTGAAAAAGAAAGCAATTTTTTCACTAAGCATCTCCATGAAGGCCTCAGGTCAGTATGGTAAATACAGGATTAGAAGCAGTTTGTTTAAGTGCTTAGCTGAATTAGAGCATAGGAACAGCTATCTTGGATCCTTCCCAGGCCAGTCACCACCAGGATATTTTTGCAGTGCAAGAGTTTTTGCTTGTAAGAGGCTGGGGATACATGTTCTCTTACAGAGACCTTTGTGTAAGGAAATTAATTATAAACCAGGAGATGTAGGCTTTGTGGTCTTCTATTATTTCTAAGAATGTCAAACCTCTAATTCTAGTCTAAACTCATATTAAAGCTTGATTATCTGGCTTAATTCACATGATGAAAGAAACTCTGTTTGTAATCAATAGTCTGCCCATCAGAATCAGAGATAAGGAGAAAAAAAAAAGCTAGACATAACCTACTCCCTCTCACTGTTTTGGAGGGTTTTTCATTTTTTATAAACTTACTGGTTTCATGTCCTTGCAGGTAAAAACAGGCATGGACACTTGAATAATAAGTTGAAAGGGCAGTAACATCACAGACTTCCCAGTGTTTCTCAAGACAGTGGAGGAACAGCAGTATGCCATGAGGTTGCCCAAAATGCCCAGGTGCTCTATGGTCTTACAAGGAAAACTAAAAAATTGTTAACTCCAGAGTTTAGACTGGCAGAGATGTTTATTCCCAACAGCTCCTGATGCCTTATGCCAGGATCCCCCGCAGTAAGTCACTGCTGTCCCTCAGATGCAAGACTGGGCAGCTCATGTGTCCTGCTTTCCATCACACACCTCGGCCTCCACCTGCTGCCCACTCCAGGCCTGCTGCTTGCTCCTCACAGGACATACTGAATGGCAGAAGGAAAAGAGAGATGCTCTGGAGAAAAGGTAGCAGGCAGAGCAGCACAAGCTGGAAGAGAGAAAGCAGAAAGAAAGATGATAATATGATAATGTTGACACTAGGAAGGTCAACACTGACCTTTCTTAAATAATAAATACTTGCTTGTGAAAGAGGGTGGGGTCTCTTCCAATTTAAAAAAAAATAAAAATAAAAGATAATGTCTAAACTGACTCCTTGATCCTAAAACTTACCAAAAACCACAGTCCAAAATGGGCTAGAGTCTAGCCTGGCAAAAGTATATCCTTGTAAGACAGCAACTGTTCTCACACTCACAAACTTATCCTGGCACTGCTGCTATTCCATTGCTCTGGGAGCTGAGATTATTTTAATTGAAAGCCTGTCCCCCTTCCCCACCATATAAACACCATTTTTCTAAATGTAAGACACACTGAATGTTACAGAGTAAATTGTGAAGCGCACAGACAGCGCACCACTGCTGGCAAGCGCTGGCCAGAGGACAATGCCCACCCAGCCATGTCCCCTCAGTCCCAGGTGTGTGGCAGCAATGTGGCCCCCGGTGTTCACCGTGTGGGGTCCTCCCAGCTGGATCCTGTCTGAGGAGCAGTCCCATAAAAAGGCTTCTACAGGGACACAGCTGTATATGTGTGTTGGGCTCTGTCTCAGCCTGGATGCCCCTGTTCCTGCCTGGAGCCTGGGCTGGGAGAGGTTTTGGCTGGCTGCCTGCAGTGTGGGGCACAGATGATGGGGTGGCCACTGTCCTTTGTGGCCCTGTAAGGCTTGTCTGTTCACATCCAGCATGAGCTCTCACTGGGGAGTAGAAAGCACATGGAGGAATTGGGGCGAGAAGGTTTGTAGAGTTGCTGAGACTCATATTAAATTAAGAAGCCCGAAAGAAATGTGAAAGCTTGGGTTATGTAGACCATTCCTCCCAGTTCAATGTCCCTGCCTCCATGGAATGAGTGAGGAACAGGGCAGAACCACAGACCTAGAACAGGTGCTGAGCAGAGCAGAGCAGGCCCTGGGAATGAAGAGAGGAGACACCTGAAGAACTGATGTTGCTGCAGCTGATTTGTGAGGTGTGCGTGTGTGCAGGCCCGTCAGCCTCCCTCAGGCCTGAGGCTCCAAAGGCACCATGGAGCCGGTGAGGCCCGGCTGGCCATGTCCTGATCTGTGGGCCAGCTGGGGCTCTCGTGGGGCAGCCAGCCCCAAGGCCTGTGTCTGTGACTCTTCTGCAGCTCCAGAGCCAGCTCCCCGTGTGCTGCTGCCGGGGGGTCCCTGCCAGGCCTGCCCACGGCCCTCGTTCATGGCATCACAGCTTGAGCTGCATGGCTGCAGGCTGTAACACCAGTCGGCTGCCGCTCTCTGAGCGATCCAAGCCTTCCTCTGCCTCCAAGGAGGGGGGAATGAACAGGTGGCGAATGTCCCAAGAGGGAATGCAAAGAACAATTCACTTGTGACAGCCCCTCACTCGCTTCTGAAAATTAAGTTGCTTAATGAGGGTTATTCCGCTAAGGGTTTTTTTCTGCTTCATTTCGTGGGACCATTTGAGGGTAATCATTGACAAAAGAATGTGGATTAGAGCTGTGCAATTGTTTTCATGTTTCCCTCTGCCCGGTATTACAATAACTGCTCTTTTATGTATTTTTATACTTTTTTGGTGGCATAATAGATGATTCTGACCTCTTTTTTTTGAGAACCCTACTTGCCTCTGGCTTTTCCACAGAGGTTAAAATGGAGAAGATTAGCCTTGTTTTCTGCTTCAGAGGTAACGCTGTTTTCCTGTAAGCAGCTGTGGGCTGGACTGCAGAGTCAGTATTTCAATGTGTTTAAAAATGCAGAAGCTTCAATAAATGCAGCTGAAAGGTTTGGTAGCCATGAATGAAAGGGAATAAGGTTTTTAATGAGTTGTGCTTCCTCAGGGAAGCTGAAAATGTGGAGCACAAGAATAACTACAAAATGTAGAGGGGTTTATGGCTCTGGAGCATTATTAATTATTAGTATTAATATTAGTATTAATAAGAAATTGTATCAGAAATGTAGCATAACAGGAAGCCCAAGAACAGTGTTCTCAATGTGATAACAAAAATAAAACAAACAACTCCACACATTATTATGGACAACAGGAATTACTGCTGGTCTGAAGGGGTTTGGGTACCCTTAGTTGCAGTAGTCAAGACTCTCTCTTAGGGTTAAAGACAAAATTGAACAAGTTGACATCCTTTCTGATGATAAAATGTGAATTTTGACTGGAGTTATGAAGAGTATAAATTTACTATTCCTCTAATGACCACAGCAATAGGCTTTTCAAAGCATTTGCTAAATAGCAAGTTACCTGAAGAGTTTGTATATTCATGTAGTCAGTAACTTTCTTTTACAAGTATATAAATGCAAAGCATTTAGGTGGAATGTCTTCAGTTGTTATTTATATAGGAAGGCCTCTTAGAGAAAACATGATGAAAAAGAACAACCTCATGCTCCATAGACAGGATAAGTTATTTTATTAGACTTGTAATTCATTCTATTAAACTGTAACTTTACCTTTGTTAAAAGACAAAACTATTATGGGCATCTCAATCTGCAAAGTCCCTTCTTCTGCGTCCTATTCAATGCTCTTGCTGTAAGGCAGGCTCTTAGAAAAGACTCTTTTGTGAAAGAGTTTTGGGGTTGAGTAATTTATCTCAGAGAAGTGTGAAACTGCACTAGAACCCTTTAATGAGACATTTTGGCTCATATCTGTCCATGCTGCTTAGAAATTGTCTGATCAGGTTTTATGGCTTCTGGGGACATATTGCTGCTTGTCTTGTGAGAACATTCTTTGTCATTTTTTTCCTTTTAAAATTAGTTTAACACTTAAAATGTGACAGGTTTATAGCTACAAACAGTGGGATTTTCAAGTTGCTGAAGGAAATATGGAACCCAGAAATGCATGAAGCAGGTCTGATTTTAGTCTTATAGGGGACTAGAGTAAAAATTGTGTTTTCTTTAGAGTACTTCAGATATTTTTTTTTCCAATATCCATTTCTTTTTCTATTAAACAAAATCAGAAACTGATAAACACTGTTTTTAATTTTGTGGTTTCAAAAAGTCTGCTTAGCCAAGACCTCTTTTGACTTTTAGGTGCATAGAAGATTGAGCTCTGTCTGATTCATAATGAGTCAGGCTGTAAAGGGTCTTAAAGATCTAGAACAAGTCTCCAAAAGGCTGACATATGTGAAAATGTTTCTCTTTCATGACAGCATTCTGAACAGCATGGCTTGGAAAGAGCAGTGTGTTCTGACCTGCTCTAGTCTGTAACAGCTTAATCATATTTTCCTTCTCTGTACTTTTCTTACAATTGACAATGATAATTTTCATTCCTTTCCTGTCTTTGGCCTTTTTGTTGTGGCTTGCAGCAGGAGCACTGCTTGTGCATAGTGCATCTTTGTTTTACTAGAGGCCTGGTCAAAGACTTTCAGGAAATCATTTGATGCCTTTAGCTCTTTTTCCTGCTCTGCAAAAGGGTGAATGTGCTATTGCATTGTAAAAATGTATGCAATCTACTTGTGAGAAGACAGTAGTACTAAATGCCTTTTGATTTCTAAAAATTCATTGTGATACCAACAATCTGCTTTGTGTAATGCACGTCACTAGTTACTTGTATGAGTAAACATGGTGTTGATTTGAGTTCCTAAGGATTTACATAATAATGTATTTTTATCAGTATTTATAATTGTAATAATTGTATAATTGTAATTTATATCTTATGTATCTTAAAATAAATTGAGACATTTTATTATTTTTGTCATATAGGGGGTATTAGTAGGTGCAGCTGTTTGCTGTTGTGACCTGACAATGCATTAAAAATTCTCTTTTTATGACAGGGGACATAAGAAACTATTAAATGTTTTTTCCCGCATAACAGGAATTGAAGTCAATTTTAAAAGTGGTTTGTTTTTTTTTTTTCTTTGTGCTTCAAAGTTGTATACTTTGAGGTTGGGGGCTTTTGTTTCATGAATGCAAGGAGCAGCAGACTTGGGGTGGTAAAGGTAGGAAAGCTCTCCTGAATGCATAGTAGGAGCATTACTTTGCCAGTGTGTGATACTGAGAGCTCTTAGCCTAGCTCAGCAAGACTGATATTACTGTATTTTTGCTCCTTCCCCAGAAACCATGTTTTTAGTGGTTTCTAAATTTTACCTGCTATTCCAAATGTGTTTGTCCTCATTCCATTAGTGCTATTTATGTTCAACTAAATTTTTTTTTCCATGGTGGTGATTATTTTAAATAATTCATTAAGGTTGCTGCTCTTCAGCCTTCACTTGATCAAGCTGCATATATTTATTATATTTATTGCACTTCATCTTTCTTCATTGGAATTGAGGTGTGATTTTCCACACAGGGAAATATCCATGCCTTTCAGTTGTCTGTCAGCATTCTTTTAGCACAGCATAAGCTCGCTGAGCTCTTTGTCAGACTGAGACTTTAAGTTCAGCAGAGCTGAGCTGCATTATGCCTGTAGAGAGCATCTTCTAGCTGCTTAATAAATTTATTTTATTTGGCAATTTTTAGTTCCTGTTGTGTGTCATGTTCCACTCAAATGGAAATTAACCCTTTATTCATTTTTTGTTGTTAATTCTAGGAAAGCTTTATCTGTCTGACTGTTGCACTGGGGAAGCGGTGGCTGTGATGATGTGACATTGTCAGTCTTGTCAGATCTGGGTCATGTGGAGCAGGATTTCTGTGCTTGCCTGGTGGTAGTTACTGGGTTTTGCCTGTGCAACCCAAAATTATGTCTGCCTTTGCTTGTGTGAATATTCCTGCATACTTTGATTAACTTACAGCCTGTGTCTGCACTCAGCCCTCGTTCAGTCTTATCAGTAAATACTCCAAGTCCTTGTCCCACTCTTACACTGACAGGCAGGTTTTCCACTGGATTCCAAACATGATATTTTTCTGCAAAAACATAGCATTTATGTTTGTACCCCATGTAAATTCTACCTTCCCTTTTCTCCCCTACTCCCTTTACTGCTGAATGATTTTCAGCTCTTCTGTGGTCTCCAAATACAACTTCTAGAAATGTTTTATAAGTGTCTCAGAGGCTGAAAAAAGAACAATGAGTTATTTGCATATCTGTATTTTTCCCTTTAGATATTTTCTAAGCAGTGGATTCAAGACAAAGCAGTAAATGTGGGAATGGACCATTCAGGCAGGCACTGACATGAAAGGCAGAAATAAATGGGGGAGGAGGAAGTGCCTCACCACCCACTTTTTTGCTATAATATACCTGTTTATGTGGACCAATGTTTGTCAAAGATTGCATCTCTTCCATAGTGAATACCAACATTTTTTTTTTTAAAGTCATGTCTTCTATATGTTTTTCCTCCTTTTGGGTTTGGTTTTATGCAATAGAATTTTTTTTTAAAACAGGCATTAACAATTTACCTGTCAAGCAAACAGTTAAGCTTGCAAAAAGACTTGGGCACAATAGCTCAGCTGCATTGTCCTCTCTGAGTATCACCTTCTATTCTTCTTAGGATACTTAGAATCTTTTGAAGCTAGTGATTTTGGAAAAGCTGCCCAGGTTACAAAGCTAAAGGAACTGTATATTTCATAGAATTTTTTAGTTCATTTATTTTCACTGCTCTGGTCTTTTCAGTAACTGGAGCATAAAGAATCATACTCTACCTTAATGCATCAGAGGGAATACTTTTAATTTATCTTCAGTTTGTCGAAAGGCAACGATGAAAAATTGAAAGCCATTACTTTTTCTGGGGAATAAATCCTCACAAAATATTCTAAAGAAATCATTTGGGGTTCAGCTAGCCAAAATATTCTTGAATGAAGGCAGAACACCCTTCACCAAGAAACTTATTTCTGGTTAAGGAATGTGTATTCCCTTTTTTTCTTGTATTTTTAAGATTCTTAACCGCCTGTATTCAGAAGTCCTAACAATCATCAAGTCTGTTTGGAGACAACTGTGAATGAAATTTCACATCTACTCATGCTGTAGTAACAGCAAAATGTGACTAATAACCTTTTTCGTCCATCTAGTGTTGAGTAATCCATAATTGTAAGTAATTTTTTAAGTTGCACTTTCTTCTTTCAGACAGCAAAAAACCAAATGAGCAGCGATTGTTGAATCATTTTTAGAGATATTTAAATTTCAGGTTAGAGATATCTTTTATGGAAAGATCTTGGGACTTTCAAACTGTTTAAATCTTTGTCTTATGATTGTAGTGTGCATGTATGTGTCGTGATTACTGTTGGAGACATGCTTGTCCCCAGCAAGTGTGAGTTTTTTAGAAGCCATGGCAAGAAAAGATAAGAAAGCCTTCCCCAGTTTTAATATAATCACAGCAATCCCCAGCACAGCAAATACTCATGCTGCAAGGATTTGGGAGGTACTTTTCTGTGAATTTCACTGTACGCTGCTGTATTTAGGCTGTAGAGCATTTTCAGGTATGTTCCTGGTGAATGGAGGCTCCTGTCCAGCTGAAACTAACCCACTGGAACGTTCCAAATTTTTCATAATAAATTAAAATACAAAACTGCCCTTAGAGACAAGTTTTGCATAATTTTATACATTTGAACATCCCTGGAATTATGAAATTCACCACCAAACCTGCAGTTTGGAAAATGTCACTGGTTTGATGGCTTGCCCATCTCCAGAAAGCAGGAGTTAGTTGCCTCTAACCCTTAGCAGACCGTCTGGACAGTAGAAAACTGCCTGCATCCCTCCCGATTATCTGCCTGGGGAATTAAGATGAGTTAAGGTGTGTTTCCAGCAAGTTTTTCCTTTGGAATCCCATTATGGCCATTAAGAAGGTTGGGATTGAATCATCAAACAGAGTATTGTGATTATGGTGCTTCTGAAGCACAGCAGTGTGTGCTTGTCAAGCATTCATGATCCATCCTCATGAGGAGGAATTTTGAGGACAATGACTAATGATGTGTTAGGATGAAATTGGACAGAAAGATTAAGTGTTTATTAAATAACTAAACAGTGACAAAGGAAAGCCTCTGACTGTTGATTAAAAGTATTTGCAAGTTCATGGGAGTATG